AAATATTGTCAATAACATGTTCAATAAATTCAAAGAGTTGGGTTATAACATGAACTTGAAAGTTCCTTTCTTACACTCACATATTGAATATTTCCCTGAAAATCTCAGTGCCATAGCAAGAAACAAGGGGAAAGGTTTCATCAAGACATCAGAGAAATGGAGAGGAGGTATCAGGGAAGGTGGAACATCAGCATGATGGCTGATTACTGTTTGTCATTAAAACGAGATGCTCCAGATACAATACATAAAAGAAAGACCACAACACATAGTTTTGAGACTAAAATACATTGACTTTACAGAAAAAATCAGGATGCATATTTGTTTGATATCAATGTTCTTTCCTTTTCTTCAGTTTGTTTGTATTATTTGTTAATAAACATAATAATAAAAAATGTTCATTGTGGTAAATGAAATAATAATTTGATCTTTTATGCAGTTTAAATTTGCAGGCCTGTGTTATTAAGTTGTTATGTTCAGCTCAAAACTACTAGTTAAAATGACCTGTATTGTATTTTATTTAGACTAGAACCACTGGTAAATATGACCAGTATTGTATTGCTTTGAATCCAAGGTTAGTGACGTACACGATGTATATTGTATTATGTAAATTCAGGATCACTTATTAACGTAGCTTGTGTATTATTGTGTGATCTTTGTTCTCTACGCATTGCATGATACATTGTAAATCAATGTAATAGTATGGAAAGAAGTGAAATTTACTGTCAACCCTAGAATATTCAGTAGAGTGATGGACCTCTTTGGATTTTTTTAACACATTTTTCAAAACTACTTATACACCAAATTTTTTGTGAAGGTATGGCTTTGTTAGTTACAGGATTTTTAATAAAATTAGTCTATGTCGGATGTGTAAAAAAAACAACCCATCAGTATTGCATTTTCTCCCACTTACTACTGCGGTACCCTGTGTATTTTACATAGCAAATAAGTGGCTTCATTCAGTTTGTGTGGTCAGTTCTCTACACTGAATGTTTGAACAAACGTAAAACTTAAAAATTAGTCAATATGATACAATATGTGGACTTCACAGGTAGTAAACAGCATAAAAACAAACCAATAATTTGAGGATTAAGTAAATTTCTTTGTGCACCAAATATATTTTCTTAAATTCAGAGAAAATACCTATATTTAGATAACATTACAAGAATGAATGAATGAGACTACTTTTCAGTGGTGTTTTCCTAGTTGATAAACATTATAACTTGCAGTGTATGATGCTTAAGAAAACTAATAAGATTATAGTGAATCACAGTGTAAGTGTTTCACATCTTTTAAGCACTGAAAGTGGATAATTTTTATTCTCCTTAGTTCCTTGAATATCTTGAAAAATATATCCAGAATAAAGGATTTGAAGTTTTAGAGCTGAAAGATTTTATTACTTAAATAATATAATCTTTGTTAAAAAGATTGTATTGTGTTTTATATCATTTTGTTTATGAAAATTATTGACTGTATATGGTATATTTAGGTTACTTTTCAATAAACTCTGACACTGGAACAGTCAAAGTCACTGAGCCCCTTGCTGGGAAAGGTCGTTCAGAACCATATGCTCTTGTTATCAGAGCAACTGATAAGGGCAATCCTCCCCAATATTCTGATGTTAACTTGTT